ATCGGTGGCCTATGAGTAATTATGGGACCGTCTCCTCTCTGGCCAGAAACCTGATTCAGAAGGAAGTCAAGAGCCTATGCAAATATTTCTGCATTTGCAAACTGGGGGATTTGCCAAGGGTTTGAGATGTATCCATAGAGAGTGTCATGGGTCTACTGTGTTGAATCTTGATGGAGGAGGTTTTCAGAATTCCTCTTCTATTAAAATGAAATCAGTTCATTTTTTTATCAAGGCTCCTCTGATTTTAAGATAGCTTCAGCATCTAACACTGAGCCTGGAAGTCCAGTGAATGTCTGAACAGACTAACTTTGGTGACAGAGGCTCAACAGAGTGTGTCATGTATGTATAACACTGCTTTTATCTTTTCTACCTCTTTCTATTATTGGTTGATCAGCTTTTCTTTGGATCGCAGTCATGCATACATTACTCTTTTGTTGTTGTTGGCCATGAGCCCCAATTCAAGGACTCATGGACATTCAGAGAGTTTCCAAGATCCCCAAGACTAACTTCCGGATGCTTCTCCCTTGCTGTGCTCCCCCAATCTGAGGGGTATTCTCAGTTCATCTCTGCTGCACATCTAGATGTAAAGCTCCACCCCTATCCTTTTCTCACAAAGATGCCAGCTACACCTGGCATTTGTAACACTTAGTAAGGAGGAGAGCAATCACATCTCTCCTGTGCGCATGGCTTTCATCAATGACCCAGATTATGACCCAAGCACATATTTCCAAGTGTGACCCTCCCAGAACGGCAGCCCTCTGAAAAATGTGGCTCAGTCACCTCCCACCACCAACCCCCCTCCTCTGTCTTTCAAGCCCCCTGGTATTTCTGCAAATCCCCTTTTCTCCATCTTATTACATCAGTCTCCCTTTGCTCATATCCATGGAAACTTTGGACAGTTCTAAGCATTTATGATCATATTCAATGACCTGTGGTTGACAGTTTCTTTTAGCCAAGTTCAAAAATTTCTTCAAGTAATTTGCCAAAGCAATGAATTTATGTGCTTCTAGAAACCAAACAATACTCCTAAGCTACTTTTAATTATGGTCTTCACATTTTTTTAACACATATATGGAATTTAAAAAGTGTCAGCAATCATTTTCCTCTACTTTTGTCTTTCCTGGTGCCTTTGTTTGGAGTAAACTGTAACTAAGCAGATCAGTAATGGGTCAGGCAAAGCTTAGCCCTGCTCCCGTAATGCAGACACCCTTCCAATTTTAAGCACAATGTCTGAATTGAGTAAACACCACAGATTAGCATGAGGGTGTTGCCATGACATTTTGAACTTGTTTTTCTGATGAGTTTTTTATATAGCATGCTGGTAGTGAGGAGTCCACATTCCCTACACTGATGTAAGAAATGCATACCACTGGAGTCAGCCTCTCGTCTTTTTTGTCATTGGGTCACTTCCAACTGCAGCATCAGAGTTGACAAGTTGGAAGGCTCTAAGGTGTGTCTCCCATCACAATGTGACAGGTTGAGGTTCGCATGTTTCCTTCTTAGTGTTTTCTGTAGCAACAAATGTTAGAACATAAGTACTACTAATTCCAGCATAATAGTTCCCTGCTAAATTTCAACAAAAGATCATAAAGTTTTCAATTAACTTCAAAAAGAGAGCTTCATAAGTATAGTATAATTTTGATCAGTAAGCCCCTGGCTGTCCAGAAACCATGGAGTTCTGTTATCCTGCATAAATATAGTTTTTCCTTTAAGGATCTTTTTTTTTTTTAAATCATTTAGGGGTATACTTCAAATTCACATGCCTTTTTAAACTGGACACTCAAAATGTCACTTAAACTGCTCTTGGGTCATTGTACACTCCAGGTATTATGCTACAAAACAGAGTCCTGAAGAGCCATCAAGATACATAAAATGTCATTGAATTGCTTACATTAAATACTTATATTAAATAGTCTTAAAATTCTATTCTTTGAGTTCCTGAGCCTTTTAAATTTTATATTTAACTTGTTTTAGTTTTTCTGTTTCTTACATTACTAGTACTTCTTACTGATACTTGATAAAAGAACGTTAACAGCCCTTGTACAGTACTTTATCAATCTCTTCCAATTTGCTACGTATATTTGGCAAACTAATTACCAAGTCTCTTAGAACTTTACCTAAATGAGGACTCCTGAAAGAGGATACAAAATTGCCTACAATGATCAAAAGACATTAACTGAAGCTCATGGATTTATGGCATCTTTCTTAGTTTACCACTTAGGTCCCAAGTAAGGAAGTGAAATTATGTAAATGTGAGGTCCCGGTTGTTGTGATATTATCCTAATGCCCATCCGCTACAAAAAACGTGATACTTTTTTAGCCCATCTCATTTCTTCCTCAAGATATTTCAGCAGGCTTAGTAAGGCCATGGTGATTTTTCCCACTTTATAGCTGAAGACCAACGCTGATCAAGGGCTTCGTCCAGGTCTGGCCAGAAACACCAATGCTGCCTGTCCCCGTAGCCCATGTTTCCTGCCCTGCCTGCCCCGGTACACCTGTAGATTTGTAAATATGCTTTGATTCCACTGGAAATGCCAAGAAGAACAGTGTGCAGGGTCCCCTTGATGAGCAGCACGGAGAGCAGAAAAAACCCAAAAGATATCAAGCAACCCCAGAGCGGGAAGTGAGAGACAAGTTAAAAGTTTATCCAATTGTCACACTTAACATTATCCTCCATCAAGTCGGGGCCTAGACTCTGCCGGGACTTCAGGCTAAGTGCATCTTCTTGCCTGTAACTTTCACACACTAAATGCCCCGACGGCTCACTTGGCAAGGACCCAAGGCAGCACACAATTCTCCGCTGCCACTGAAACTCAATGGGAGGAGACATTCAACAGCAGTGCCAGCTGAGCACATCTCGATGCCATACACCTTAGTAGTTGGCCCTTAAAGAGACCCACTGCCATGCTGAGAGCAACAGCAACAAAAAAATCTTAGCCTGAAGGGGCCAGACTTCCCCACCAAATTAACAAGTCTTCCCAGCAGCCCTAGGCTGAGGCACTAAGAGAAGTGATAAAGGGGCCCATGTGACAGCTCTGTGTCCTGTGAGTGCCTTAATGAAGCAGTGGGAAGAAGGAGAAAGAGAGCTAAGTGTCACACACACCCTCCCCTCCTGCCTGCAGAGAGCTCCGTGGGACAGCTGCAATCCCGCTTTACAATAAATAAATAAATACATAATCCCACAAATTTATAATCCAAAAATGTACAGGGCCTCCAGCCTCTGCAAGTCATCACAGCTTTAAAGAGCACATGTCAAGCATCTGAGGTCTGCTCTCAGGCCCGTGGCACAGCCCAACTCCAAAGCAAAACTAAAACCCCAGTGGGGCAGACATTCCTCCCTTCAGCGGGAAGCATGGAGAACAGCTGGGACCTAAAACAAGTGAGGCTGGGCAGTCACCTCGCATTCAGATTTCGTGTGCTCTGTTAGTGAGGAATCTAGGGGCCCTACAGGGGTGATCTCAACCTTCTCCATGCAGGGGTGACATGACCACATGAACGTTCAGACAAGCAATGACCGGGTAATAAAGGCATGGCAGGGTCTTTAGATCAACACCAACCCAAAGCCAACTCCCCCCTGTCCCCAATGGACACGTGCTCTTTGCCCCTGTGTTCTTCATAGAAGTTACTCAAATGATTCTTCCTCTTCTCCACACTCTCCCTGCCCCCAGCATACACATAGTTACATAAAAACATCTTAAACGTGGGGGCCCAACTTCTTCAGTCCCGGGGGGGGGGACCGGGAAGTGGTGGGGAGCTGCTAGGGGCCCAGTCTGAGCATTACTTGGGGTTACATAATCACACAAACGAGGGCTGGAGAACGCTCGGTGGAGATCAGTTCAGCGCACACCTCGTTCTCCCTCTTGCCCCTCCCCCAACACCCAGAAAGCAAGCCAGTTTTAACACAACCGAAGCACAAGATGTGCCCGCGCGGCACCTGGCTGCTGCGGTTACAATCAGTGCCAAGGGCTGCCAGAAACTAAAGGGTGCCCAGCAGAAAGGACCAAGGTGCTGCTCACCGGGCGATCAGACACCCCCCCCCACCCCCCACCTCGCAGACCCTCTTGCCTGCAACCACTACCCGCCAAGTTCCAGGGAGGGCCCACCAAGCCTCAAAAGTCCACCGACCTGCAACGTAAACCAAAGCAGCCATTCAGTCCAACCCACGCCTGGCCTGAGTCCCTCTACACCACTTCTCCTATGCAAGTCCCCGCGTGTTCAGGCCGTCCACGCGCGGGAGTCCTCAGGCAGCCCGTGCCATCTTCGCAGGGGCCATTCAGCACCAGCAGTGTTTCTAATTTTAAGATGGTGAATGTGAGGCACAACTTCGAGAGGGGGGCACCCTCTTGGCGAACGGTAAGGCAAGAGTCCCCAACAGAGTAGGAGTTTGATTTCTGTTTTGTTTGGAGGGAAGGGGTAGGTTGTGATTTTATTTAGAGACATTTGGGGGGGGGGACTAGAATTAAGGGGAGAAAGGAAGATCTCCCTTCTGCCTTCTGCCATTCTCCTCCACCAAACCGCCCCCCAGAGACCGCTCCGGTGGGCCCGAGCCATCCCCGAGCAGCAGCCGGCGCAGCACAAGAAAATGCAGGTGCTGCAGGAGCGAGGCGTTTGCGCGACAGCTGAGGCTCATTGGAGCCGGGTCACCAGTGCGCCGGAGCCGAGCAGGGCTGCCAGCGAGCCAGTGAGGAGTGCGCGGCGCTCACAGGGTTACAGCCGCCGCTGCCGGTGATTGACGCGCGGGGTCACTTGAGGCTCACGCCGCTCCCCTAGCACCAGGCCGAGCAGCGCGCTCAGCCCACCGAGGGCACCGCATGCTGCGCGGCCGCCCACTCGGGCAGCCCTTCGCCTCGGCACCCGGACACCGTGCCCAAGAAAGGCAATGACAAAATGGAATCGCAGCTCGCTCTGTCACTTCCCCGGGGCGGCCGCGGGCAAAACCACAATAAATAAAATCAAGCGCAAGGAATCCATCCGCCGAATAAAAATCCAGAGTCCCCTAC